TAATATGCCATTCTACAGTGAGAAGATACTATTTCTTCCTTTTGAGGCCATTTCATATTGGAAGAGAAGAGAGTATTAATGCAGGGAAGAGTCCTAGAATGTAGTTTCATTTCTAAATTCCCTGTCCCAGCCATGTGGTGAATAGCATCTCACCTTAGAAACCCCAAAGCCAGAAGCAAAAGCAGACTGTGTTGCCCAAGAATTGTCATAACAGCACTCTCTGAATACAAAAACTGTGTTCTAAGGCAGTGCTGAATGAAGAATTAAAGAGCTGGCACATTTCCCATCAATCTCTTGCATCATCTGCCCAAACCCAATACTCATAGAGAGGATGAGATTTACAGAGCTGTTTTATGACTTAAAGCATGTAGGTAGGAGATGCCACCGATTGTAACTATGAAAAAAAAGCACTGAAATAAAAGACTTGTCAGGGAGAGACAGATGCACATCACAAAATAAAACATGGTAAAATTTCAGCACTCTGAATCACTCCTCTAAAAGACAGAAGGAAAAACAGCTTTTTTTTTTTTTTTTTTTTTTTGTCGTGCAGCATCACAACCAATGGTCTGATGTAATGAAGAGTAGACACCTCTTGCCACGGGATGAGCTGCAACAAGCCTGCTGCCACAGCAGTTCAGCTGTTGAGGAAGTGGAATTGGCCCATAGGTGTATCAGCAAGATCTGTGTACTGAACAATAGCTGTCAAGGCAGGGTTTTGGGGAGAACTGAATGACTGTGTCAGTGTGCTGGCAGAGCAGCCCAAGAGGCTGGCAAATGTAATGGCGTGAATGTCTTCGAGCACCACAGTGGAGAGGAGCTGTGGATTTCCTTTCTTTCCTAGAGTGCTCAAAAACCATCAGCATCATAACTGTTCTTCAGCATAACAGGGGAATTACCAAGGTCTCAAAATAGTAATGAACAGCACCAGACAGAATCTGCACCCACTTAATTTAATGCTAAGCATTCAAATGAGCAGCTGCTCTACTCTCCACACTATTGCTCACCACAGAAACACACTGCCAGTCGGCTTACCTCATTCTTTCCCACCTCAGTTCTAAGACAGTTCCAGCTTTTCACTACGGAAATACCTATTGCGATTGAGCAGAATAGAGTCTGCATTTATATATTTCATGTAGCTCCTGGGCTTTTCTGAAGAAGAGAAGGCACCAAAACATAAAGGATATCAGAAGCTGCTGCTTCTCTGCCACAGCACCACAACTTACTTTCCTCCCTGTTCCAGTACAGCCCTCCAAGGCCTTCCTTCCATATTTGTATTCAAGTCAGCCCCTTCCAAGATATCTTATCTGCCATCAGCCTCCACAGCTATTTCCTCTGATGTAAGAAAACCACACTGTACCATGGAGAAAACTTCCCTTAAGGAGACAAATGTTCTGCCTTTTGCCCTCCCAATCCATTCTCTGCCGGACACCCACACCAGCATGCTTTCAGTACTTGCCCCTGTTACTGATCATCTCAGCCCCATCTTCCAGGCAGTCTCCATTCTCTTACTCAGAGAACCAGCTGAATTGTTGATTTCTTCTTATGTATTTCTGTATTTCCATCTATCTTTTCAGATGGACAGTGCTCCCTCAACTCATCTAATGTCCTTGCTGTGTAGTTTTAAGAGCTTCTCCATAGGAAAGCAAACCAGGAGGCAAGGAAAATCTAAGCCCAGGCTGTGCCCAGACCACAGTCTCACAGGACCTAAGAGCAACAGGCAGAGCCAGATGCTGACAACAGACTCAACTGTTAGCCCTAGACAGGACAAAAAGAAGACTCAGGCCTTGCACTCATCCAGAGAGGCCAGGTTGCATCAGCAGGAGACAGGACCAAAACCAAGACTACAACATCAGTTCAAGACCTGCCAGGAAACTTGGCTGGAGACAGAACGAGCAACAGACACATCCCAAACAACTCAAGCAAAACCAAATCAGGACTCTTTTATGACAGATCAGACAAGGTCTGTATTTCTTCATGTAATAAGATCTCCACCAACATTGCTCATTACAGTGAAGTCAACTCTGATTTAAATTATTATAATATGGGGTGGCTGGCCCAAGTGATTTCCTTGTTTTTGTGCCCTGATCTTACACTGCTTTTATGTAAAGCATCATTTAACTTCAGTTGTACTTTAAAAATGAATATGTAGAAAAAGTGTGGAAAATGGAAAAGAGGGCAGAGAGACCAGCCTGAGAGGATGCAACAAACAATACCAAACTGCCTCTAAGATTGTCTGACTGACTCTAAATGTTGATGAGTGTGAAGGAGCTGTTGTTGTTAGATCTGCTCCTCTGCAGTTTTCACAGCTTGCTTGTTTTGGGTGGCATCTTAGAGTCTCTAACTCTCCAGAATGTAAGTAAACACATGTGAGTAAAACCTTAAAGAGCAGTATTTTCTAGTATGAGGTGTCTCCGTCAAGGTGAGAGGGAGGAAGGAGAAGGCTGGCCCACTCCCTAGTGGGGAATGGTAAGGTGGTTCTTGCTGGAGCCTGACCCACATTCTGATGACCGTCTCCCACTCTGCAGGAAACAAATCCAACACACAGAGCAGCAGCTCAAGGTTTCTCAATGTATCACGGCCCTTGCTGGTGCTTGGGTCACCCTTTGCTCTCATATAGGGTTTTCTGGTAGTGATGCCTTAGCACATCTTCAGTCGCCTTTTCAAGAAGCATTCCCTTCCCACCACACAAGCAGCCTTGGTCCAGAGCCCGCTCTTTCCACAAGACTAAAATGGGATGGATGGATGGAGAGATATCTCCTTTCTCGTGTGGATCTAAATTGCAAATATGTCTCTGAACATCCCAGGAATGAGATATGCAATCTGCATGGACCAGATTCCCTTTCTTTGAAGCAAAATCCTGGGCTGATCCTTATCGTCACTCTACCTTATGGTTAAAAATACCTGACCTTGTGAAACTTCACAGCTCTCTCTGGGCAGCCCACCCCTCCCTGTCCAGTCAAACACCCGTGGAGGTCTACTGAGGACCAGGCAGTTCTGCCTGTCTCCACGTGTGGCTGCCCTTGATCTGATATCCCCCTGATACTGGCTCCTCCTATTTTTAATCTTCTCCCACAGCTTGATAACCTACTTGTTATGCACCTACACGGCCACATGCCCTAACCCGCCGGGGGGGATGGAGGGCGGGGGCAGTGCTGGGTGGATGTGGCTGTCATGGGTGGCTGTGTGCTCACCACCACCCTCTGCCCGGGAGCTGCGGCGCCGCTGAGGGGTTCCTCCTGCAACCTCCTCTTGTAGCGCTGGCTGCTGCTCTCCATCTCCAGTGATGGATGGACTTTGGCTGCTGCGCGGGAAGCAGTGGGAAGGAATGCTCTGTAGTGCCGACACATCTCCCCGGGACTGCTGTTTATCGGAGCGGCGGGAAAACACGCTGCCGGAATATTGAGCATTTAATAAGTCAGTAAGCGATCAAATAAATCAGCACTTCCCGCACCAAACACAAGCGGTCTCGTTCACCAGCGGGAGGCTGAGCGGCGCTGCTCCTCGCTCCGCTGCCCGCGGTGGTGTAAGAAAACCGTGGGTGAATGGGAAGCTCGGGGTTTCCCTGGCACTCAGCCGTGCAGGCTGGGATTGCGGCGCCTGCCAGGGCGGAGGTGCCGCTGCTGCCTCCACTGCCACCGCCACCGCCCTGCCTGTCCGCGCCCCTCCGCGGCCGCGGACCGCTCCCGCGGTGTCCTGTCACACCCGCCGCGTTACGTAACTGCTGGTCACAGCGGTGCCTTTGGTCATCCCTCCCCTCGGGCTGCCACGGGACGCAGCTCCGTAAGCCCGGGCTGCTGGGCGCGGACTGCGCCGCATGAGCCGCTCCCGCCCCGCGGGCGGCACCGCCTGCGCCGCGCCTTGCGGAGCGCCGCGCTCCCTCTGCGGAGCCCCCGCTTGCCCCCCAGTCGCAGCAGCCCCGTGAGCGCTCCGGGCGGGACGGCGGAGGCTGTGCGGGGCCGCCCCTTGCCGCCAGCACCGCGCCCAGCCCTGCGCTCCGCGGAAAACAGCGCGCACTGCCATCCGCACTGAGTCGCAGCCCCTTATCCTGAATGGGAGAGTGATTCCCACGCCCAGTTTCCTCAGAGATTTTCAACAGCTCTATGCCATACAAGCGAGAAGATTCAGTCAGAAGAAAGTGCTTTTTTTTTTTTTTTTTTTTTTTTTTTTTTTTTTTTAATTTATTTACCAGTGCGCCCACCGCACGAGAGGGTGAAGGGGTACCCCATTCAGTCAACTGGGTCCTCCTCACGGCTGGGCAATGGCTCCCTGTTTCCCTCCTTCCTTGAAGCAAATGCTGCTTTTGGGGAACAGGGGATCCAGACTTCACCGGGCTCGTAGGGGTGGCACGGGGCATCCCCGCTACCTTTCCCTCTGTCTTCCCTGCGCAGACCGCCCCCGCTGCCCAGGGTGCGGGGGAGGAAGAAAGGCTGCAGGGAGGAAGGGGGGCTGCCAAGGCGGTGCGTGTCCCCCCCGCCGCCCCCTCGCTGCGGCAGCACGTGGTGCTCCCGGGACGCGGGTCCTCAGACGCCCCCCCTGCCCAGCCAGCCAGTCTCCTTCGCGAGGAGCTTTTTATAGCAGCCCCGACCCGCTCCCCGATGGGAGGTTTCTCGCCGCGCTCACGTTACCATGCGGGTGCGATGTTAAATAAAGGAGGGGGAGGAGGGGAGGGGAGTTCGGCGGGCGCCTAATTAAGAGCCGGCGTTAACCAGGAGGGCTAAAAATAGCGCCGAGCGCTGCAAACCGCCCAACCGCAGACAGCAAGCCCCGTCGATCCCTGCCGCGCCTCCGCCGGTGAATGGAGCGGCCGGCGCTGAATGGAGCGGCCGGGAGCATGAATGGGGAAGCGGAGCGCGCCGTGAATGGGGCGGCGCGGGCGCCGCGGGGGGGCGCTGTGGCGCCGCGCGGCAGCAGCTGGAGCCCCGGCCGCGCACGTGCCGGCGCGGGGGCGGCTCGGTGTCACCTGGCGGCAGCGGTGGCGGCGGGCGGGGCGGCGGCGCGGGCGGGCTATAAAAGTGTCCCGCCGCGGCACATGCACACTTCGGGGAAACTTCCTGCCTGGAGTGGCGGCGCCGGCCGCCATGGGAGGTGTGCCCGCTCCCGCCTGCCCCGCTCCGCCCTAGGGCGGGCAGCCCCGCGGCGCAGGGCGACCGCGACCCCCGCCCCGACCTGACCTGCCCTGCCCCCGCCGGAGGCAGCGCTGGCGAGCGCGCCCGCTCCCTGGTACCCGGTCGTGCCCTGGGAGGTTCGGCGGCAGGATGAGAGTGAACGAGAGCGAGCTGAACAGCTCCGTCCTCCCGCGGGACCCGCCGGCCGAGGGCGCCCCGCGCCGCCAGCCTTGGGTGACCTCCACTTTGGCCGCCATCCTCATCTTCACCATCGCGGTGGATCTGCTGGGCAACCTCTTGGTCATCCTCTCCGTCTACCGCAACAAGAAGCTGCGAAACGCGGGTAAGGGGCGGCGGGGAGGCCCGGGGGCGCCGCCCGGGCTGGGTGGGCGGGGGTCCCGCGGCCCCGGGTGCAGCGCCGCGGCCGCTGCTCTGCCGGGGAAACTTTCCCCGAGCGCGGAACTCCGGGGTTGGGCGCTTGGTCTCCATCCCCAGCTGGCGGTTATAGGCTGTGACAGATGCCAAGAGCTCCGTCTTTCCTGCCGAGTCGGTAATCGAGCGGGAAAGGGTATTTTTAGCTCCCGCCACTGAATCCTGGTGCTATTTTTAGCTCTCGGCAGTTCCCACCTAGCAAAAGAGAATGGCAAGTTAGTCGTATTTAAGAATGAAATTTAGACACGGTACTGGGGATACTGCCTTGGCATACAGTGTGTGTCTGTGCATGCTGGATGCTATTCTTCTGATTGATTTTCTTTGAGTTACAGAAATGTCTTCAGTAACAAATTCTATGGTTGGAGCTTCAAATCAAGCGAATACGAAGTTATAAACATTGCAGGATTCAGACAATTCCCTCCCCCCACCTTTGTTCGCCTCCTACTTGCTGTCTAGGTCTTTGGGGAATGGAAAACATCTAACAGAAAACAGCTTTAGGCACTTTAAAAAAAAATCAGTCTCTAATTTTGACAGGATAGAATCTGTGCTGGTCTGTTGAGTAAATCCCTCTTACTTCATGGATTATTGGTCAGACAGGCAGGAACTTCTTCAGATTCATTCTGCTTTATCATGTCAGACCAGCTGCTGCGCACGTGTACCAAATCTGTGCACTCCAAGCCCTATGCATCTTTCATTGAAAAAAATACAGGAGCATGGGAGGAGAGCTGTACTGGTAATGAAAGCAGAATTTCACTCCATGACAACTGAGAAGCTGCTTTTATTTTTTTCACAACTGGGCTGTCAAGGTCTTCATTACTACTGCACTAAGTTCATCAGTTAATGGTTTAAAATTCATCTGAGGGGGGAACTTGAGCCTGGGCTTTGAGATGGCCTAAGAAAGGTGTCTAGCACTGGACTCTGGCAAACAGTGGCATGCTTATCTTTCTGAGGTTAATTCAGGTAATTCTAGTGGATTATCTGCTTCATCTGCTTTCATTCAGCCATAGTGGAATGCCACACACAAGATCAAAATGAAGAGTAACAGATTTTAATTTTTTTCCTCCCTACAATTGCCACTGATGTAAATTCTGAAAACTCTATTATCTTCCTGCTTTCATTGGCAGAAATTTCATTCATTGGAGCTGGCAGGGTAACATGTGCACGTAAAGAGATGAGACTCCAACTCCAGAAGTCCAAGTGGGCACTTGACTACCCTTGTTCCCTGGAAGACTTTTAGATGGAGGGAGAAAGAGTTGAAACAGGCATATTACCTGGGTTTCTCTAGGGGAGTGGGTGATATTCTCCCCCTCCTTAATTAATAAATCTATGCTTTAGCACTTCTGTGGGTTGTTTGCAATATGGACAAGTCTGGTGAAGTCTGAAATGAACATGGTGTCTTTTTTTCTGGAGACATAACTGAATCCTTGGGCTCTATGTGTGTTCATACTCTCTGCTGTAGATATCATGTAATCCCTCCTGAATCTCAACACGTGCTCACTTGCTCACTCTTACTGCATTTCTTGTTCTTGCCTTTTCTGTCATAGTGACTGTTAAGAACTGCAATAAACTGGCAACAGCTAGGAGAGTAGAGCATTCTTCTGAACATAAATTGTTTGAGACTGGAACATGAACTAGATACTGCTTGACCCTCTGAAATTAAGGATTAATTAAAATAAGTACATACTTGGTACCATGTGGTAAATAGTTTATAGTCTTGATTTAGGAGAAAAATAGGAACAAGATTTTAAAGCTCTTAACTTTGAGGGTTTTTTTCCTTTAAAATATGGGGGTGGGGGTTAGTAAATGAATTAAAGGAATCTTTGGAAATAACACAAGTTTTAAAAAGGTGTTCTAAGAGTTCTTGAATAATCCTGCAAAAACTTGTGCCTAGGAGTAACGTTATTTATTTGAGCACCACTACTTAACTGTGCCTTCAATTAGGGCTTAGTCAGGCAAATAAATTTGTAAAAGGCAGTAAGTATTTAGAAGACCCTGGCCTAATATTTGTAAGTTTGAAGACTAAAGTCTCCCAAGTCTTGTTTTTCCTAATTCAGACTATTCAGGAAGAGATTACATTGAAAATAATCTGATTTATCCATACAACTAATTTGTAACTTGGTAATGCCAAAGGCAGTTACGACTTTTTACAGAAATGTAATAAGAAAGAAACTTCTACTTTTGCAACAACTTATATTAATTAAGTCTTGCTGGCACATTTATTGAGGAAAAAGGACACAGGATGAAAATTCCACTGGAAAAAGGTCAGGGAGGAACAGAAGATACCTCCTGAAGAAAATGTATTTCACTGAAGATTTTCTTCCCTCTTTGCAAGAGAGGACTAACAGAAATAAGGAGTATTTAACCCTTTCACAAAAAGGTGGATTTGGTGGGGGAAAACATCTTTCATCTCTGTCCTACTCTCTATTATATACATATGTATTGGAAGATACTACAAATTGAACCTGTGGACTTACAATTTATAAAGTGCATTGGGGAATAGTAGGAAGGCCTAGAAAAACCTTCTCAACAAGTGGTGTAACCTTCCTGACAGTCAGAAGGTTAGTAAAAGACACTGATCAAAGCAGAGGAGTCAGTAACTCAAAGAAGTTTGTCTCAGCAAGCGAGGAGTGTCTGATACTACAGACTCCTTCATAGGCACAAGCATGGCTTCAATAGATGCTCTTCTAGACACAGAAGCTGATGATGCAACTGGTAGGATCCTCTTTTATTTAATGTACTTGACTTGTAATAAGTTTCATAGTTCTGGTCTGTTATTTCTTTTATGGTGGCTTGTAATCCAAGAGGTGCCTGACACCAATTCAGTCCTGATGGGAGCAGCTGCAATTTAAAGCTGACCTACACAAAGACTGAATTTGGTTTATGATATCTGTAATCTTTTAACTTTGAAACAAAGTTCAAGGGAAACATTCAAGGCATAAGGATTTTAATGACCATATCTTGGTAGCGTATTCATGCAGCTTGAACTTTAAACTGATGTACCTTCTTTAATAGCTAATTTTCAAAAAGAATGAGAACAGATCATTTTAAAAAGAAGTTTTGTGTACATCCTTGTCTCATTTACCCTTATAAATATTCATAGATCAGAAATAAGGTCATTCAACAAATCCACCCTGGGAAGATGCAATAAGTAGCCTTAGGAAAGGTGTATTAAAAAAACTGTTGGTGCTTTTAACGAGTGGAATTTTTACTTGAAACTGTCAACATCCAATCAGAGCATCTCAGAAAACTGAGGAGATCACTTAAGTGATCTTTGTAATGCTACAGACAAATTTGTTGATTGCTGGTATCCTTATGCCTTTGTTGTTACCCACACCAAGAAAAACAATGCATCAAGAACAAGGTGAGGGAGCAGTTCTAAGTCTTTGACTATGGAGATTAGTTTTCTGCTAGTGATATTAAAATGTCAACACACACCTGTTCTTTTGGTGACAGGTGGATTTGGGTATTCAGTGATTACAGGTCTGGACCATTCTTAGTCAGTGAAGAAAGTTTTCTTGAATGGTATTACACCTCTTGCTCTTCTTTCTCTTCCTTTTGAAACTGTTCTCTTGGCCTGGCGGGTTGCTTTTTTTCTGGGTGCTCCGTGTGCTGAGGTCCAAAAGTTCCCTGAGTACCCTTCCAATGGAGTCCAGTGTGGGAAGGGAGGCCCAGCAGCCTCAGCCTCGCTCCTGTGTGCCTGTCCTGTCTGCTAACACCTGGCATGGGTTGGGATAATCCAGGGACTGGTGCCAAGCTGGTAACTAGCACCTACTAAATCAGGGCAGAAAGCTGCTTCTCACTGATCTCTGTTCTGTGCTAGGTGTACTTGGGTTTTTGTACATTTTTCTAGTTTTCCATGTCCTTGGCCCAAATGTTTTGTAGCTAAAACTTTGTTACTAGTGAAGAAGGCATAGAGGAAGTTTGACATTGCTGAGGTCCCAGGACCCTGGGCAACAAGATACAGTTAATTTCTGCACACATGCTTAAACTTACCTATGTGTGGTAACTACTTTTCTGATGAGATGACAATGACAAAGGAAAAAACCCCAATGTTTGTATGCTCAATCTGCCTCACCTGCTTTAGATCCCAAGAGTTCTGTGAAGACAGCTCTGTGAGTGCTCAAAAGAATACAATGAACTCAAGGGTAATATTGAGGAAGGGTAATCTCTCTAAAATCTTTTCAGATCAGTCAAGTCACTCTTGAAAGAACTAACTAACACAGCAGCTTATGATTTTTTTTTTCATTCTTTGCTGAATATTACAGCCGCTGCAGAATTAGGGTTGGGAATCTATCAGTAAGAATTTAATTTTGGAGGCTTTTCAAACTGGCCCTGGGTTTTGATTTAAGCAGTGTAAGAATCTAGTTGAAGAGTGCTCCTCTCTTAATGCATTTTCTAGAATAAAAATCTAAAAAATAAGAATGGAGCTATCTTTTAATAACCAGATTGGAGATATCATCAGCCTTTTCAGAAAAATGTTGTTCTTGATGATGTTTTGTTTTTTAGTTTTAAAATTATGATATTAAATGCTCTAGTAAAGATTGTTTTATCTAATAAACGAAACTCCTTTTGTGAATTGAGACTAATGAAATCCTTCTTTTTGTCACAGGTGAACCTTGGACTTCATTTTGTGCCCTGAGAGACTATGGGTAGCCCGACAAATCCTTGACTCAAGGAAGAGAGCTTAGAAGATCAAGTTATAGCACAAATTCAGGGTTCTGATAAAAACTGAGATGTTGATGGCAATGAACATTATTTCAGAAATTAATAACTTCCAGTATTAAAAATGGTAAGCTGTTTGGGAGGAGGGAAAATGTCTAGAGGAGATGCTGAATTTTGGCAACTGTTGAACAGAAGTGAGCATAAAAATACAGTTTCAATAAAGTTGTTCCTCAGACTGGTTTTGATTGA